AAGAACTGCGATTCGAGCCGTTGATGAACCAAGAACTGCGATTCGAGCCGTCGATGAACCAAGAACTGCGATTCGAGCCGTCGATGAACCAAGAACTGCGATTCGAGCTGTCGATGAACCAAGAACTGCGATTCGAGCTGTCGATGAACCGAGAACTGCGATTCGAGCCGTCGATGAACCAAGAACTGCGATTCGAGCCGTCGATGAACCAAGGACTGCTATCCGAGCCGTCGATGAGACGAAAACTGCCATCGGTTTACCGTAAGCGTTTATCCAACTTTCTAAATTACAAAAGACTAAGCTGTATTCGTATCACTTGAGTGCATTCTTCTTAATATTTTGGCGACTACGCCGAATCTCTTGCTGTCTTCGTTGAGGAACCTACGAGTTTCGCGGTATGCTCAATAAATTCTGCGTCCTTGCCATGCATATACTCCATGGCCTTCTTTAACTCTGCTATGATTTTTGTGCATGTGAAGCCCTTGAGTGAAGAAAAAGCCACCATGTGATCAAGATCATGTGCAGCCAACATTTGATGGAGAAGTTCATTTTGAGCAAGCAGATTTAGGATCTTTCTTTAGACGGAATTTTCTCTTTCTATTCCACACCTAACAGTAACAATACTGATAAAAAATCAGAAACTAGTAAACAGCTTCTCTCTAAATGATGGCTAAGTCAACATCCAAACACATAGGTTTTCTCTACCCACTTTGTCTGTGCCGCGATTTTCTCAAATAACAAACAATCCCTGCCGAAAATAAAAAATAAACCCTTTCACGACTATATAAATGGAGAGTGTTATTGAGGAGTGATATCTGTGCGTGGTTCTATGATTTTCGCAGGTAATTCTCGATTTCTGTGGATGCGCAAAAGCTGGAGCCCACAGCGTTCTTGAGACAGTCGTACTACTTAATAAGTCTCTTGATTAAAAGGAAGAAGAAAAGAAGAAACCACATCCCATCAGAAAGAAAGCAGCCCCTTCTAAAGAGCGCTTTTTTTAACATACTTCGGTCTTGCGAAGGTCAGATTTGGCAGGCATGATCGTGAATTGATGAAGTGAGAAATCGTTATGTTCTGTATTGGAGGGAGCTAAGCAAAAAAGTAGGTAGAGTTGAAAGGCCCAAGAGATGAAAATATAAAGATCAACTGTTCCAAGAAGAATGTCAACATTTTTTGAAGTTTTGCGTCGTTAATTTAGGCCGATAAAAGTAGGCTCTGGAGGTGGAAGAAGTGGTGATGATGGAGGTGGCCGTAGCGCCTACTTCGGCGTTGGAGGAGGTGGTTTTGATGGAGGAGTTCGTAGCGCCTATTTTGGTGTAGGTGGTGGCCGTGGCGCCGGTGGCGATAGGGGTGGTTTCGGAGGTGGACGCTCTGGGTAAGTCTGACCATTTCTCCCTTAAGGCATGATTATGATTTAGAGAAGAAAAAGTTCGTGAGCACCGAGCGACGCGCCAAAACTGATTGGTTATTGAGAAGCTGATATTTCAGAGGCGGTGCTGGCGGCGGAGGCACACAGAGCGTATACTTCGTTCCTGGTGGCGGTAGTGCAGGAGGAAGCGACGGGTGAGCATAATATGAAAAACGAATCGAAGGCGTTCATTCTAGCTAATTGTGAAAACTGCTTTTACATTTTCAGAGGAGCGAGAAGCGTCTACTTCACAAGAAGATAATTCAAGCAAAAGAAGAGTTAACAATCCGCCGATAAATGTATAAATGTTTCTCTTCATAGAGTACTGTCTGTATCATTCCTATATTTCGCCTTATTCGTATGAGGATCACCTGAACTATTGACCATCAGAAATATCCTGCCAGCGCCCACATCGTAAACAAACTAGACGCAGTATCACTTATAATTTCTGATGTTTTAAGTGCATCTTTCGCAATGGTACGATGCGTTCAATACACCTAAGAGAGTTGAGTGGTGAGTAAAAATACGGCCTCAGACGGGAGTCGAACCCGCATTTCATCCATATCCAGGACCCGTGCTACCACTACACACCGAGGTACAAATGTACCAAGTATCACATATCGCAATGGCTGTCGGCTTAAATGGATTTATAGAGAGAAATTGCAGACCCAACCAAACCTGTTAGAGGTTGTTGGCTGATAGCTACATAGAGATGTTGAAGAATGAGTGGTGGCGCAAACGTACCTTGGCGGTGTAGTGGAAACACGCGTCCTCGATATGGATGGAACGCGGGCTCGACTCCCACCTGAGGCCGTATTTTTGCTCACCCACTCAATTTTTCTTAAGTGTATCAGACGCAATATTATTTATCTAGATTGAACAGACTGTTTGCCACCTGACCAGTTCAACACATTATCGATTTATTGTCTATGAACTGTCACCATAAGAGCGAATGAGGTTTCAATGCAAGATAAGAATTTGCTGCTTTTTCTCCTCACTGACACATCTAATTTTGGGTAAACGTGATTTTTTCAAAGGTAACCGTACAAGTGCGCTTCAAGGTCATCACCACAGCTAATCGCCAGTGAGGCCTCTATCTTATTAAAGCTTGCGAATTAGCCACTAAGACTTTAGGCTGCTCTCAGACCCACAAGGATTAGATCGATGATTATAAGCCGAAGGCTCTGCTGCCGTTATCATCAGACTCCAAGAGAAAAAATTACGTATTAGTGAAAGGACATATGTGCCGAGGATTACACAATCGCTGGTGTAGATGGAATTTATTCCAGAGGTCAGCACAAAATCTTGGACCTAACCGTTCAAGAAATGCCGCTGATTTGATACAAGCATTCTCACGCCCAATTCTAGTTACAATTGGTAGCAATTCTATTTAATCATCAACTCACTAATCACTCAACTTAGAGCTCGCATTCTTTGGTACTTTTCCGTTATTCGGCCCCAGTTTCAGCTCTCGTGCGAAGCTTACTTTACGGTAGTTTTTGATGTCTGAGTAGTTAGTTGATAGCTTAAATCTCAAAAAATTTAAAAGTGTATTTTGTTATTCAACCGGCTTTCCCATTGCGCTGTAGCAGCAAAAACAAAATCATGTTCCTTCTCGTAGATTTCAATGATGTATTTGATTTTTGAAAAAGAATTCATGGTGCACTGTGATAATCACGAAAAGTATGGGTTTCCAAACTTGGCACCGGAAAAAAGCGCAGTGCCATAGCGACCATGTTGCGAAATCCCTGTCCATATACCGGTAAAGCACGGTGGGTTAGTGTCAGTATAAACTCAACATTCCTTCGGCGGCTACAGTGCACCAAAAAGTTCTTTTCAAGGATTAAGTTATTATTATTGGAATTGATGAGATTTAAGCTATCGAGTGGCTGCTAAAAGTCTGATGACTTCGTTCACCGAGAAATGTTTTAATGAGAAACATAGTTTTACTTCTGCTGGAAATTTTTGACATCTAAGCTATTGAATGACTCATCATACTTTAAGAAATACCGAAAAATTACTTTTCTACGAAAAGTGGAGCTGTGACCGAATATCGGAAATTATCCCGTTCTTTTTACTCATAAACTTGGAACCTATTACTCAAACTTGACACTATTTTACACTACCCGCTATCACAATTTACTGCTTCGGCTGTCACTTGATAAGTTCATCTCTTTTCTCAGTCTCATTTTCATTTTCATGTCCCAGAACGCTGCCCGAGACGATTCTTCTTGCAATGCCGGAGGTAGCTGAGCTATAACGTTTCTAGGAGTTCCTTAATTGTTTGTAGGAGGAATGCTGAAAGAGAGGATCAATCCAGCACATTGCTAATCACTTCGGTATTTTATCATGGTCGAGCTCGTCAAATTAGACTGGCTTAATGCTGTTGAAGAAATGAATAGTACTTCGGCGTTGAGCATTCACGAGGAATGGGCCCGGCCTTGTCAAGCACCACCAGAGGTGATTGATTGCATATTTAGCTGATAAAATCGCTAGTCGTCTACTGATGTATGACCTCAATGATGTCGTCTTCCCAACAACACTTCATCGACTCCAAAGGGGTGGAGGGTTGGTGAAACCGAGTCAAAGGAAAGATCGACCGACAACCTCGTATCCATTGAGCACCTCAAACGACTGTGTGCCCTTGATATTATCGATCGTGGAGAAAACAGTGGAACTAGTTAATGGACAATTTCTGTCTTCTATATCATATTCAAACGCGTGTGGAAGCAGAGGTTAGAGGTACCATGCAATGCACAAGTAGTCGATGGCTTGGCTTTGCTCTCGCGACTCACCAAAAACCTTCATTTCTCAAGAGTCGATGAGTTGGTACCAGACTTATTTAAGAGGATAGCAGCACTGACTATGTACTCTGGTAGGCCACTCATTGTAAAGGTCAGAAATGCATTCGAATCACCTCTAGCAATGTTACTAAAGTTGGAACGCATGGCACATCCCTCAGGGACTGATCAGCTTCGAAAGCTTTGTCCTTTATCCTCCATAAGACAATCAGGAGTGAATGCGGCGCCGTAGTTAGATGGGCTTTGCTTCGTACACAACGTCCGATAATTCAAATCGCGCGTTCATGGCTCACCAAGCCATCCATCCCTTCGAGGTAGGTAAATTGCTAACAGACTGGTCTCAGGCTTGTCTGGGAGGATAAGCAGCCCTGACTTAATACAGGCGAATCATTGTAAAGGTCAGTTATGCATTCAATAACCTCAGATGAAATTAGTACTTGAAGCGAATGCATAGCGCATCCCTTAGAGATTGATCAACGGCGAGAGCTTTATCCTTGTCATTTATCATGATCAGGGACAAAATGTGAGATAAAGAATGTGAGCATATCGAAAAAACACTGACAGCCTATCAGCCAGATAGGGTGCGAAGTTTAGCAGCAATTTCATTGGGGTAATTCTTGCGCCTGAGTAAATTTCTGTAATCAGGATGATTATGATGCTACAAGGACGGCATATCATTTACCTTTTGAATGAGCATACGCATCATGGTTGACCATACGGCGTCTAGAATGTATGGAAACAGTACCTTATTGTGTGCTGCAAAATTCTGAAAATATTAAGCGGTATGCAGAAAGTTCGATCGTAATTGGGAGTTGAACCCAGGTTTCACCCATTGCGGGAGTGCCCGCTACCAACTGCACCACCGAAACCATCTCCCTTGATAGCATTCTTCTTCAGTTATATTGTATCAAAGCTGTTAGCATATAACCTATTGACGAGTTTTCTACGAATTTTAGCTCTACGTAATCATTTATTGAGGTGCACAATTAAGATTCCCCGCGTTTTTTAATTTTTTTCCTATAATAATAGTAAAAACAGAGATATTCTAGTTCTTTTTTTTTGCCTGGAAGTGCGCTAAATACGTAACGTATTCATATAGTTTTTACATATGAATATTTTACATGGTGAGTTTATGGGACTATGAAGATGACGACTTGTGTACGCGAAAAACGATATTTGCGGGAAGTTTACTTTGCTGATTTACTAACCAAGAAAAACTAGAATGCCTTCTTTTAGCATCGGTCATTTTCTTGTGAACATTTTGGTGTACAACTTGCCTATACTTGCTCTAAGATGGGAACTGTCGTGGGAACAAATTCCCTTGCTTTCATACACGAATCGCGCGTTGGGAAAGAAAGTGGCTAGTAAAGCGGAGCGCAGAAATATTGGAGCTTGGAACAAGCTCTTTCTTGAAGTAAATAAAGAAAAGCTGCATACCAAATTGTTTGCAAGAGAATGAGCATTTAACACGTTGACAACGATCTAAGCTGTCTTAAACCCAGAGCGCACGCCGCGTGTGCGCCAGCGCGGTCCGGCGAAAGTCTTTATTATCACGTCTTGCAATGAAATTATGTTAGTCTGAGTTACTGAGGGGATATTATCGTGACAAACGATGAGATCTAGCAGAGGAGACTCCTATAAAAAACCTTATAGTCAAGAGAATGCCCATAAATCGAAAAATCTATGTTTCAACAAGAAAAGCACGTTGTTGAGATTGGGAACGCATTTCGAGCTGCTATACATCGGTTCTTTCTTTTTTATCCATGTTTTTGTACCCATTCCACAGTGGAAACGCTTACGAAATGGTATCATTTTGGATATGAACTGGCATCATGCGTACTAAAAAGGCAATCCACGCTGCGATTCACCCTTGCACCTTTTTATTGCCTTATAATTTCAAATCTAATCGAGATTAACTCTATGCCCACCACATATAAACGCGTTAAATGGTCTCGCCACAAAATAGTGTAAGATCGTGACTCATACTACTAGGTGGTTCCATTTGTTTTGGCACTCGAGCAGTAAACACCAAAATTTATCAACCAGAAGGAAAAACCTTCAGAAGTAGAACTTTCCGTGAACGGCTCGAGCGCGACTGATCTTTCAAATTTCTCTTCCCAGCTTTGGACTTCGCGAACCACTCCCTAGTCGTCCTTTCACCAACCGCATCATCGTTTCAAGATTCATTAATGTTATACGCCTCTTTACTAGTATTTCTCCATACCTGCCATTCGTGCATGCATAGCAAGCGAATTTGCTCCAAGACTTGATCTCAGGACAAGTATAGTCAAGTTGTGTACCATAATGTTTGCAAGGAAAGTGCGCAATTGAGTGATATCAATATTATGCAATTTTGATTACATCTGGCTTTTAATATTTGCTGTTTACTGCTGCGCAAAATTACAAAACGACCTGATAAGATCTATAAGCTCAGAAAAAAACCAGAGAACGAGTAACTTTATTGCACCTTAAACTCAAGAATTATAGTTGATCCTTCATGCTTGATATGATTACTGTCTGCTTTGGTAGAGCTTGCTATCGCCTTTTGCAGACGCAAATTTTTCTAAAACTACTCAGTTCTCAATAAGAAAAAGCACATTCCCTGGGCTAAGATGTGAAACGTTGTATTCTCGGAGAACGTAGCAAAATAAATCAATAGATTCCATAATTATTATTTGAGCCAACATGTCATGTAGTCTGTTGAATGGGCTAACTTAGAGAGTCCGATACAGGTATTTCGACCTTGACAGTCGATAACAGTCTCATCTGGCGGGCGCTAACCTTCGTCTTTTGCTAATCCTCTGACTGGGCGCACCGAGAGGATTGGCTCAAATAATGATTGAATGTTGAAATTTGCTTAAAGAAAACACTCGAAACAAAAAGTATGATACATTGTCGATACCAACCAAAAGTAATCGAGAGTAAAGCACTGCCCATTCGGTTATAAATTCACTTGATGGGCGGTATAAAATGTCCGCCATCGCCCACTCTTAATATAGGGGACTGAGCTCCCCAAGAGGGTTGGCAAAAGACGAAGGGTGCCGCCCGACTGATGAGACTGTCGAGGTCGAGACACGTGTAGCAGGCTCTATAAGTCAGCCCATTTGACAAACCACATGACGTGTCGGCTCAAATAATACTCATGAGATATGTTGAAATTTGAGCGTGGTCTTAAGAAAACACTCAATACGAAAGGTAGAACAATAGGTATTTTACTGAAATCGCTCTTTTGACGGGACTTTCTTTTATAGCCTCACTGTGCCACTTATAACTGTGGGCGTGAGAAGTTCGGCAGTACAACAGAAATAACAGCAGCACAACGAAAAGAGCAACAGATCATCTCTAAAAATGATCATGCGAAAAAAATAAGTAACGTATCACTTGTGCTTAACAGAAGAATAGATAACATTCGCTAATGATTTAGATAATGAACCATATAAAAGACGTTGAGTGGAAAAATCATGAAGTGATCATTCTTATTCTCCAACTGCACTCCTCTCGGACGGTCGGATGTCTAAAAATGTGAGCTGGCTTTTCACCACTCTGCCTCTTCAATTATACTAACTTACGTCTCTTCATTTGCATTATTTGATGACTTTTCATAGAAATAGCGCGACATTACGGATATGTGCCGATTCTACTACAATTTCATGCATAGCAAAAATTTTCTCGCAGCTGTCATCTACGATGAAGTTCAAACTTCTTGTGCTTGCATTCGGCTGCTATCTGAGAACGTTGATCTTTTTTTTTGAGAAATTATTGAACGCTGATCGAGTCTTTCTCCTTCAAATCTAAAGACAGCAGTGCTAACGTTCTTTCACTTGCACTGGAAGGAGTCAGCTAATCCAAGACAAGTTCGACTCAAATATTCTAATCTTGGAGACTAAGATCCGTTATAAAATTTGACTAACATTACTCTCAATGAACAGCATCGCTTTTGCTATTCTATTCACTCCTTCACTAAAGTGATATTGTTGCAGGATCCAACGTCCGCCAAAGAACCAGTTGAATTTGTGAGACGGTAAAGTCCTTTTTTCGTTGTATACATATGCGTAGCCTGGTATGAATGTTATCATAAACAACATTTTCACGTTCAAAGCCGCCCCAGATTCTTTCAGTTTATTCTGGTTCATCCATTACAAAAACAGATTTGAATCAATCTTGATATATTGCTATCATCATTACAAAGACAGAGTTTTAGCCTTCACCTTCTTCTCAACAGTTTTAACCTTATCAGACCTCACAAACATCTTAATATAGTGGCAATCATTGTCACTGTCATATTCATAATCATTATCATTATCGCTATCATTTAGCGAGGTAATTTTTCGTTGAGAATTAGGAATGTACATGTAGTATGAAAAATATAGATGCTCTTCTTACTAAGTTATCTCTGTAGAAACTTTTCTAATGAAATTGCATTGATTAATGATAAATGTTCTTCCTCAGAACCTGGCTTCGTCTCCTCCCATCATTATGCTGTCTGGCGTCTGTCCTATCACAAGATACGCCGCCTTTGCGCGGGATCTCCATTACAGTAGCTGAGCAGATTTGACGTAGCGTGATGTGGGACGAAACGTCCCATATGATATTCAAGGGGCTATATAAATGAATTGACGACGAACATATCACACTGCACGTGCAAGGTGATTAGATCACCCGACGTGCAGTGTTTACATTAATCTGCTCGTGGCTGGTAAAAACATACACCGTGAAGCCCTTCTTTTCAACTGTTCTCCTTTGATACCTCGCTTGGAACAATATGTAATCTGTAACATATTTTGAGACCTTGATTAAGCCATGACTGCATAACACTAAACGTCGGGTGGTCTTATCACCCTGCGCGAGCAGTGTAACATGTTCATTGTCAAGTCCCTGTATGTAAAAAGTGTAGTCCCTTAAAAAAGAATGGTTGAGACGATAGGCACCGTGCTGCGGACTGAGGTTTGTCTAACACTATGTGAGTGCCATAGCAGACCTTACGAAATCTCAAAACATGTTATCAGATTTCAGTTTTCAGTTCACCTTCACGAGCGAAAAGCGACAGATCTAAAGAAAAAGAATCCGATGATGTTACTATCACTAACAATTAGATCGGATGATTCGAGTACTAAAGCAAAAAAATTGAAGAAAGAAGTAAGTTCTAATGTAAAATACTTAGGTAAAGGAGGTAGAGAAATTCTTTTAATGTCGCGCATGAGCACTTGATTTCATCTCATCATCATTATTGTATCAGCGCGCAGCAGTCATACTATAATCATGGAACTATAACTTTCATCCTTTCAAAAACTATGTGGTGCTTTGCAGAAAGACCCAAATGAATGCTTTACATCTAAACCGTCAGATAAGTGTGGTCCTAAAAAAGAAACCCGTAAGTATCAAAGAAAAAGACGAAATCAAAGAGAACAATTTGGTAGAAGAAAATAAAGTGAGTGTTCCCACTTTTTGTTTCCTAATAGATATGAAAATCTTTCCTAATAGCCGTTTAAAATTATACGTAGAAAACTGCGTTACCTTTATGAGCTCATCTATCTCACATTGATTCTTAACGCTTGACTGGAGCTAGGAGGTGGTATTAGACGTCGAAATGGCAGCACTGTCCGATGCCATATTTTACTGAACCGACAAATAGTTTGACATTTCCATTCTAAAGACTGGTAAAGAAGGACTAGCACCGTGAATCATTTTTGTTGTGATGGCAACCTAGTACTTAAATAATCTTTTTGTTCTGTTCTGCTGTGTTCTGCTCATATTGGTGAGCATGAGTTATCAAGAGAACATGTGATTACCGATTGATTGAGTACACCTCGGCGTTCCTTTTCAAACCTCATTTTATATACTGTTCAATCCAAACTTCGCATTTTGCTTTT